AAAAAAAGAGAGGCAAACGTAGGGTTCATTACAGGGGGAAAAGGAAAACATCGATAAGGAAAAAAAAGAAAGAAAAAAAAACATAAACACACATCAACGGATCCTTCTTTAATTTTATTGCACATTTGGCTCCAATTTTAGGTTATATTTCATAACGATTATCTTTTTAGATTCTTTAGCTACTTTAATTAAAAGTTTAAATTCGTTTTTAACAGTAGCTAGATTTGAAAAATTTAAAATAAAGATGTTAATTAGAGACAATAAAAAATAAAATTAATATATATTTGAAAGTTTTAAAGCTAAGAATTATCATAACACTATATCATGCATTTGGGATTCCAAATGTAAAAATCGTCCTATCACAGAGCTAACAATAAGCAAAATCGTCCTATCACAGAGTTCTAAAATTCAAATTTACAACACCTAATTAACTAACAAGCTAGCTAGTATCGAGAAGTTTAATATGCGTTTGGTAACATTTTTTGTTTCTCATTTACTATTTTTTTTTCCCGATTCTTGATATTTTTCAATCAAGAAAACTATAAAAATATTTCTCGAAACTGATAAATATTGCTTGGTAGGAGTTTTTTTTTTGTTATCTAAAATTTTAAATTACAAGAAAAAAGTAAAAATTTTATATGAAAATTAATTTTTAAATTAAATATTTGAAATTTTGTGTTATATTTAATCTTTGATATTTATTGTGCATTTTATAAATAAAAAATGATAAAATAATACTTTTATCTAGGTTTAAAAAAAACTAGAAACAATAACAAAAGAAATAATAAATAAAAAAACTTAATTTTGTAGCTACATATCTTAAAAATGAGAAATGAGAAACAAAAACAGTTACCGAATGTCTATGTTTCTCAAAAATTGAAAATGAGGAATGAGAAAGATAAGAAACAACAACGTTATCCAACGGAGCTTTAAAAAGTAAGACATAAATACGACGTACCACATATTTTTCGAACCTTTATTTATGGTTAGGGTTTTGTCCCAAGGCTAGATAAGTATTTGAGTGGCCAAGGATGGTCACATTTATGAATTTTTGATAAAGCCTTTGCCAAGTCTTCAACAAGGAACTTAAGGTGGCCAAGAAAATTAGAGTGCTGAACTTGTCAGTCATTTTCACCTCATGTTTCATGCTATAAGATTCAATTGAAAATTCAAAGCATTTAGTCTAGCAAAAAATGTAGTAAATGAATCCCCCCAACAAGTTATTTAATGAATATTGTACGTTTGACATAAATAATATGCTTTTATATTTGGTTATATATATGAAAGAAAATTTTAAAAACGTCTTCTAACCATACACGTTTGAGCGTTATGATTTTACTTCAAAGCACATGCATGCCGTAAATTATTACTATATTTTCAGTATAAAAGAAAAATCGAAAACTCAAATATTTAGGACAAACTCATAGTCACCATCATTSATTAATTTTAAGAACATACTCATGTATCTATATATGTATAGGCTTACATTTAGAAAACTAAATGTAAATTGGTTCCATCAAACCCATCCACAAGTAAACTCATAATAACTCATTAATAACAAAATCTAATGGTAGAGAKGGAGAATCGAATATACACTCTGTTATTATATTTGTTATTAGAGCTAGGGTTTCCAAAAAATTAATGACCACATTGGATAACAAATTTTTATATTTAAATTTCTAATGTTTCTACAATTTTGTGCATGTTTTCAATTTTAAAAACCCAAAAATAGAATTTAAAATCTATGATCTTATTATAAAAATGTATTTTTATTTTGCAATTACTTTTATAAATTGACATGCATAACAAAAATTTTTATTTTCTAAGTTTTTCACTTGTTAAAAAGCACTATTCAAGTCTTCATCAAATTAAAAAAAAAAAGAGTTTTTGAAAGCTAGTCATTTAAGAAAATTTGATTGTTGTTTTTTTTTGTTTTAATTTCCCATCATCCATGTCGTGAGGTTTATACAAGTGGGATCCTTATGGTAGGTGATACCCACAAGACCGTACCTATGTTTTTACCACTTATATGTCATCCCAAAGAACAAGAAAGTTTGATT